AAGCAGGCAATAAAGGCTAGGAACAACACCAGAATGTTTCCTTCCTGCATTCCTTATAGGATTAGCCCTGTAAAGTGGAAAAAAAATAAAATATTTCTTCCAACAACCGGTTCTCCCAACTGCTTAGAAAGTTAACAACCGGTTTTCCCGAATAGGTGCGAACTGGCTGAATCCCACCACTGAATCACAGGAATTTCAAGTATTTTGGCTAGGCTCCTTAAGTAGTGTGTTCATTTCTGAACAATACATTCAGAGCAATTGGAACAGGCTCTGAGAAAGGCAATAAAGATGATCATACAATCTAACTCCCATGAGGTAAGATGGTTCAAATACCTGGAGGGGATATCCCTTAGAAAAAGAACCCTTTGGTCGTAAAGCACAGATGGATTTAAGTTATAAGAAGCCCCATTATCATCAGCCCATAATTCCTTGCAGGATGGAGTCTGGGCAACTGAATGGAGCTAACACAGTGTTTAATGGCCCGATGCCCTTCCTGTCACCAATGAGGAGTTTTGTTCAGCAGATATATTCTCATTGTGCCTAGAGAAAAAAATATCTCTCCCTACCTAGGATCGAACTCACAGCCTCCTGATTGTGAGGGGAGAGCTTCACCTCTAGACCACTGCACCCATTTTGACTGAGTTTTTTTTTTTTTTAATCCTAAGAATTTCCAAAGAAGGGGCTGAAGTCTGGGAAGAGTTTTCTTAAGCTGGTTTCATCCCTATCTGGTATATGTGGTCTGCATGGTGGAAACGCCCTAAAACTAGAATACAAGGCCAGATCCCAACACTGGTCAAGTAGTTGAAACCGCATCTCCATGCCATTTTCATTTTTCCTAGCTTTGTAGCTAAATTAATTAGGTTGGAAGCACACAGTCCCAATGGCTAGTAGTGGGTGGTAAGTTCCATTCATCGCTAGCTTAGGAAATCGTCCTACACTTTAAAAGACCACAGTATCAATTCACTAGACAGCATAGCACTGGCAGATGTGCAGGCAGAGAAGGATGCTTTGCGATGGGTGGACAAACAGCAGTAAGGAGAAAGTGACAGTGGCACACCCCTGGGAGGGATTAGTGGATTCATTTGGTTAATCTGATAGACAGTTGTGAACAAAAAGGGTGTCCCTTTACAATCAGCCCCTCGGGGTCTCTCTTTGAAATTTGCCGTGCACATTCCTAACAAGGCAAAACCTTCTTCCTTTCCAATGTAATTATGTTCCATCCCAAAACAAAAAAAGTGAGGATGTCACTTGAATTTGAACTTGAATGAGAGAGAGTTTTCTTTAAAAAACTTTAGGATTGATAATTGGAAGCCAGAGTTTTTAACTTTCCTAACTTGCTACTGAACTGGGAAATGAGTAGAAATTAATTATTTCCAGAGCAACGTAGATCAGATGTTTCCAAACTTCTGGATCCATTCTTGGAAAGCATTCAGCCTTCAACCCTGCTCTAAACTATACGTATGTATCAAAAAGTTTACAAAGAGAACATGGAGTGCTAACTGTCAATAACTATTGTTCATTTACTTTAAAATTACACAGTAGACCCAATACATTATTTTGTTGCTAGAAACTCCTTCCTCCTTCCTTCCTTCCTTCCTTCCTTCCTTCCTTCCTTCCTTCCTTCCTTCCTTCCTTCCTTCCTTCCTT